CTAATTATATTTTAGATTTTTTATATTTAAAATGAGATGTTTATCCTGTATTTGATTGTGTTTATTTGCAGTTAGTTACACGAATTCAGATATGGGATGAAATCGGATAGGGATGAACGGGTTTAAGAGTTTTTAAGAGTTTTAAGAGATTAAGAGTTTTTAAGAGTTTTACGGGTTTAAGAGTTTTAAATGTTCAAGAGTTTTTAAGAGTTTTAGCCAAATGCTTTATAATATAGTATAGATATGTATGTATGTATATATGTACGGAACTATGTTTAGACATGCTTCATTTGTTTACATTTGAGTTCCTTCATGGTTGTACTTAATTGTTGAAAATATGGTTTTTCTGCGTATCTAATGTAGATCCCAGATTCAAGTCTATAATATGTAATTCAACACAAGATCAAGAACATAGATTGATTCAAGTATGTCGGCATGTGATATAAGGTGTTCTTGAACTCTCTCTCTCTATCTCTCGATCTCACGTACACAAAATTTGTTAAATGTTTTTTTTATTGATGATTTGCTAGCTAACTAAACTACCAACAACCACCTATTTATACCAACAATACAAAGAACAAACTAAACAACAAAGCATGTTAAAATATAACAAGCATAAGGACTTAAATATAACATTTTAGATCCAACAATCTCCCCCTTTGGATTCAAGTCCAAAAACAACAAATTCTTCAGATAAGTAAAACAGTTTGTAGAAGGGGGGATGAATACAAACACAATATTTTCAAATTTAAAATGTATATTGATAGAAAAGATCAATACAAATTTTACATGATTGTTTGCGAAAAGATAAGGTAAGAAAACCTATCTAAATAATATTTGGTTACACACATATTCTTAGCAAATGAGAAAAGAAATGCTGTAAAGAAAAGTTCTTTTACTTAAGCTCGAAAATGCTTAAAGTAAGAATTAAGTTTAGAGAGTGAGTTGCGCGCACTCTGCATGGAGAAGAAACACTTCTATTTACACCCAATGCATTAAATGTTCATTTAATGCAATATGGTAGGGTTAGAGTGCCTGTCAAGCCTTAAGAGGAAGGCTTGTCTTTTGTTACAGTCAATAGTACAAAAAGGACTATTCATGAGCAGACATCCTTACCTAAAGTTGGTGGGCAATAGAGTCGACTAGTCGGCTCCGTACCGTACTAACATTTAGAAAGGGTATGGGTTTGTCCTTTGTGTGCATAAGGACAAGACAACAACAATCGTGCTTGATAAGCTTCTTTTGATCGCTGAATGCTGGAATGACATGGAAGTCTCTTCAGCATTCGCTGAGGCTTGAGCAGTCTTCACACATGTGTAGACCGGCTTGTAATCACTGAGTAC